AGAGGCTTAAAATTAAAAGCATTTAGTGTTACGAATTGCAAACAACTCATCAGGAATCGCAAGCAATGGGATTTGCAATCACTCCATTCTCTTTCAAGTTTTACAATAGCTATGTGCGATGAGGTGGAATCCTTCCCAGAGGAGATGCTGCTCCCCTCCAGTCTTACGACTCTTGAAATTAGGCATCTTTCAAATCTAAAATCTCTGGACCACAAAGGGCTTCAACACCTCACTTCTCTTAGAGAATTGCAGATCTGGCAATGCCCCAATCTCCAGTCTTTGCCATAAGAGGGACTTCCCTCCTCTCTTTCTTCTCTATCTATCTTCAGGTGTAATTTGCTGAAAGAAAGGTGAAAAAGACCTAATGGGGAGGATTGGCTCAAGGTTTCTCACATCCCATACTTGTATATATCTTGATTAGTCCTTGATTCATTCATTATTATAAGGTACCACGAATCCTTATTTCTTTACTTTGTAAGTTACAAATCACAATTTGACAGAAAGACTTGCATATTTTACTCTGACTTTAATAAATGAACTCCAAGCAGGCTTCGTCAGCTGTGGCCGAAGATAGATTGATAGTTTGCTAGCTTCTCACGGAGAATATCCATCTCTTCATTCTTAAGTTCTCAGCCTGACTTGTTTGCCGGTTAGTGTTTCCTTTGAGTTGAACAATGGCCTGCTTTAGAGCTGGTTTCTTGCAAGTTTGTAACTCTATGCTTGGGGATTTTCATCTTGTAAATTGTGTTCTATCTCTCATTTAGTTGTGCTTGCACCTTTTTGTAATCGTTTCCTCAGCTTGTTGCATGCAGGAGCTTAATAAGATTCCCTTATGAAAAAAAAAAAAAAACACAAAATAAAAACGTTTTGGTCATTTCCTTCTCCAAGTTGCTCTTACGGTCTTGCTCTGATCCTCCAGTTCCAAGAGGATTGTCCCTGTCAACTCTCAATGCAGGGAACCCAACATTATCCATATCGCTCTTAACATGCTTGCTGGCCTCTTTAACATCCTTGCAGATCGTTGGTGCCATGCCTTTGAAGGTGTCGATCGGTACATAAATTCATCAATAAATAGGAAGAACATTTTTTTGCAGGACACCTAGCGAGTTGACCTTGAACCTTTTTAAACTTAGTTCTTGGCCAGTTCAATTTAATCATCAAGCCGGACAGCACAAACGCTTCATTCTCTCAAACCGAACTAATCCCAGCTTCGGTTCATCATTTTAATAGTTGAGCCGATCGGTCAGGTTCATTTCTATTTGAAGTGTGTGAAACTCAATTATTAACACCCAAACAATTGCTGATCCACATTATTTTTTTTATTGTGTGAAACTCAATTATTAACACCCAAAGAATTGCTGCTCCACACTATCTTGTTACTAAAAGAATGTGCGGGCAAGTGTTCTTTCAGTATCTTTAAACAAACCCAGTAGGCATGTAAGGCACCATGGAGGTGACAGACGTACACGTCAGGGCTCAAACCCAGATACAGTGGAAGGAGACAAGTTCCTTTCACCGCCAAACCAAGCACTAGAATGCTGCTCCACACTATTTTGTAATGCTGCTCCACACTATTTCGTTACTAAAAGAATGTGCGAGTAAGTGTTGTTTCAGTATCTTTAAAATAATTTTATTTTAATTTCATTTAATTGAAATTAAGTTTATAAATTTTCTAATTTCCTAATTATAGTTTTATTCATAAAAGAACTCTTACTAATTATTTTATTAAAAAATAATATAAATTATATCATAGAACCTTGTCTAATTATTTAAATTTTTAGATTAATATAGTTTCTTAACAATTTTAATAATTCAATACTTATAAATTTAAATTTTATTATTCTCATTTTAATTAATAAAATTAAACACAAAAGAATACAAACATGTGCAAACCTAAATAATTTGTATTTGAAAAGATATTTTTTAAAAATACTTTGTATTTGGGAAGAGTGGATTTTTGAAAAAAAAATGAATGAAAATAAAATAAAAGGAATTGCATAGATTCTAGTTAGGGATAATAATTTAATTTGAACTTGATAAATAAAAACTTGAATGGATATGCATTTTTCAGATCTTATCTAATGGGTAATGAAATATATATATATATATATATATATATCAATTATTTTATATTTTAGTAAATAATAAATAATAACAAGTAATAAATACTCATATGAAAATTCAAAATTTTATAAATAATTTATAGATATTTAAATATTTTATCCAATAAATAATGAACATGTAAAAATTCTATATGTGATCTCTAATTCCAATATTTGAGAATTACAAGGAACATGCTGTGATTGATCTCTCCAGACGAAGGGAGCGAAGACAATTCTGCGTGTATAAATAAAAAGTGACTAGAATTACATTTTTACCCTTATTTGTATGACTGTTCTCATTCACAACAAAATCATATTTTTCACTTCAATATATATATATATATTAGGAAAATTAAAGATATTTGAAAGAGTTAGAAAAATAAATGCAATTAAGATTTTTTTTAATTTTTAATATTTAAATTAACAGCCGAAATCAATAATAAAAATAAAAACTAAAAGGAAATATGAAAAGAATAAAGGTTTATAAGAAGTGTTATCTTTAAATAGAAACACCCCCTTTATATAAGGATAATTTTATATATAATATGCTTATTTTTCAAGATACAGAATTTCTTAATGTAGAAAAAAATCTCCAAACCATTAAATCACCATTTTCTAACTTAAATTAATAAAGCATGAAAAAGGAAATGCAATAAATTTTGGTGATGAAAAAGATTATATATTATTATCCTAAAAACATGCCATACAGACACGCTCTCAATAAATACATTAATTACTAAATATATTTAAAATAATTAAATATAATAAATTAATTTAATCATAAACTTGAGCTCTTCAATTATATTAATGCTAACCTTTTAAATTTTATGTACCATTAAAATAGATAAGTCAATAAAATTTATTAATTATTATTTTAAATAAATATTTTAACTATATGTGTGTGTGTATATATTATTAAGAAAAAAAAGCTTATTATATGAAACGACTCTTTTCTCCTCTCTCCTTTTATCATCAAGTTACTCCCATTCAAATCACAATTTTCTTATTTAAAGAATTTTGCAAAAATTTCTAGACCTAATTAATTAAAAAAAAGTGAAAGGGTAAAATTGAAATTTTACAAAACCTCTCCATTTTCCTTCTTTCCAAATTTACCCCTTCCAAACTCGGTGAGGAAAATCATTTTCTTTTCTAATATTTTCGTTCCTCGCACTTTTATTCTTCTCATTTTCATTCCTCCCTGTTTTTTTTTTTTTTTCCCCAAATACAATACAAAGGTAAACTTTAACAGAAGGATCAAATCACAGATATTACATGATATAAAAGGACTAAATTAAACCACAGAACAGTAGAGGGACCCAACCAAAACATTTCAAAAAGTACAGGGATGATTGACCTTTTCTTCTCTATATCTTTTGGCTGGCATGCAGCTACAGAAACTGACATCGACCGTTATTTTCAACTTTTTCTTCTTTCATGTCCGAAAATGTCTAATCTTTGAGCTTCACACCAACTGACTTGACCTGATGAAATCAGAATTCCTTTCATCACTCATCCTTGGAATTTTCCTTCACTGTCTCCTAAATACTGCTGCATGCTCTCGGCTCAAGTAAGCTCTGTTTCCTTGACTTCCTTTGTTGGCTCAATCTTTTCTCCTTGTTCTTGAATTTTTTTCATCCCAATTTTGCTTTCTTTTCTGCAGCTATGTATATATTAAAGAACCCATAATAAGGATTTTCGTGTTCTGGGGTTGGGGTATTTCAATTTATTTTTTTGGTTCTTTAGGATATTTGATTTTTTGGAAGTATGAATTATGTGAATTGATGTTACATAGCCTTAATCTTTTTATTTTGATGAGTTATTTAACGAAATATCATGAAGTTGAATAATTTTAATGAAAATAAAGATTGAGTTGATTGATGTCTTGATTCGAATGCCTGCTGCATAATCTTGTGTACTTGTTCTTTCTGGTTCATGTGGTTTTGCTGAATATTTATTATTTGTAAAGATTTGTGAAGAGGAGAAATGGCTCTCGCATTGATTGGAGAATCAATTCTTGCTGCTGTCCTTGAAGTTTTGATGGAGAGGATACTTTCTCCTGTGGTTAGGGACTTCTTCAAGAGCCAAAAGATCGATGATGAAGAATTGAAGAAGTTGAAGGCAAGGATGAGGTCTGTTAGTAAACTGCTCAATGATGCAGAGGAGAAGCAGATTACTGATGCAGCAGTGAAAGAGTGGCTTGATGAGCTTAAGGATGCTGTCTATCAAGCTGATGACTTCTTGGATGAGATTGCTTATAAAGCTTTGCGGTTGAAGTTGGAAGGTGAATTTCGAAGTCAGACCTGCACGGATCAGCTTCGAAGCTTTCTCGCTTCTCTTAATCCATGTAGAAAGGGGGTGAGAGAGGTGAAAATAGAGTTGGCAAAGATCCTTCGAAGTTTAGAAGAGTTAGTGGGACAAAAGGATGTTCTTGGTCTGATAGAGAGCATTGGGGAGAAACCATCGTCGCGGATAACACCAACTTCTTCTCTGGTAGACGAATCTGGAGTTTATGGAAGGGATGCTAAAAAAAAAGCCATAATGAAGTTGCTGCTATCAGATGATACAAAAGGCAGGCACCTAGATGTGATTTCGATAGTGGGTATGGGAGGGGTTGGTAAAACCACCCTTGCTCAGCTTATCTATAAAGAAATTGTTGTTTCCAACGACAGAAGCCAGAAGAGCTCGTTTGATCTCAAAGCCTGGGTTTATGTTTCCGAAGAATTAGATGTTCTCAAAGTAACAAAAGATATTCTGAAGGGGGTTGGTTCGATGAATTGTGACACCATGACTGAAGATCAACTCCTTTGCGAGCTGGAGAAGAAATTGTCAGGGAACAAACTATTGCTTGTTCTAGATGATGTTTGGAGCGATAACCAATCTCAGTGGGAATTTTTACTGAAACCTTTCATGTCCGTGAGACAGGGAATTAAAATTATTGTTACAACGCGCAATGAAAATGTAGCATCAATCATTTCTTCTGTTTCAACTCATCATATAAAGAAGTTATCTGACGATGATTGTTGGTTGGTGTTGTCAAAACATGCATTTGATGGTGGAAATCTCAGTGCCCATCCAGAGTTGGAATTAATTGGTAGACAGATAGCAAGGAAGTGTAGCGGCCTACCTTTGGCTGCAAAAACACTTGGGAGTCTCCTGTGCTCCAAAAGAGTTAAGGAGGAGTGGATGAAGATATTAAAGAGTAATTTTTGGGAATTGCCAAATGACAACATTCTGTCACCTCTACGGTTGAGTTATCATCATCTCCCATCTCATTTAAAACGATGCTTTTCATACTGCGCTATAATTCCGAAGGGTTATAAACTCACAAGGGAGGAGATAGTCCTTTTATGGATGGCAGAGGGCTTTTTGGTGGAACCCAGAAGAAATAATGAGATGGAAGAAATAGGCTATGAGTACTTCAATGAGCTTGTGGCAAGGTCATTTTTTCAGCAATCAAGTCCCAGTTCATCATTATTCGTAATGCATGACCTCATTAATGATTTAGCTAGATTTGCATCTGGAGATTTTTGCTTCAGGCTAGAAGGTGATGATTCAAGCAAGACTACTGAAAGGACTCGCCATTTATCATACAGAGCAACAAAAGATGACTCTTATCAGACATTCAAGGCAATCAAGAACCCCAATTGCTG